GCCAGTTTATAGTCAGGTTTATTAGATGGCACCATGGAAACAGTACAGAAAGGACCGCCACCCAAGCCCGGTGGTGCTGGAGCTCAGAGAGGGGCTCGCCTCCAGGGAGGGATCCTGTCTTGCCTCCTCCAGCTTCTGGTGGCCCCGGCGTTCCTTGGCCGTGGTGGCATAACTCTGATCTCTGCTCTTATCTTTGCGCGACCTCCTTCCCTGTGTGTACAATCTTCTTCTCCCTTCTCTCCTAAGGATATGAGTATTTGGATTTAGGGTCAGCCTTAAGTTCAGGAGGATCCAATCCTGAGATGCTTAACTTGATCACATCTGCCAAGACCTTCTTTCTTTTTATTTTTTATTATTTTTTAAGGTTTACTTATTTTTGAGAGAGAAAGACAGTGCAAGTGGGGGAGGGGCAGAGAGAGAGGGAGCCCCTCCAAAGACCTTCTTTCCAAATTAGGTCACATTCCCAGGGGGCTCTGGGGTTAGGACTGCCACATATCTTTTGGGGGCAGCGGGGGATACAATTCAATCTGTTCCACCAAGCTTCCACGGCAACCAGAGCAGCTGTCCTGTCTTCAGGGAGGCTGTGGGCAGGGGGAGGGGAGAGAGCTGGGGCGGCTTGGCCTGGCCTCAGCCCTACTGCCACTCTGCCAGGTGGGATCGGCCTTAGAGAAAAGGAGACAGGCCCAAGCCACTGAGCTCATGCATGGCAGGGCTGAAAGTGCTCCCGGGGCTGGGTGACCAAAGCACATCCCAGTGGCTCCACACTCTTTCTCTTGTAGAATCTTCTAGAGGGAGCAGTGTGGTCAGGGCAGGCATCATTCATCTCCCTTTTCCAGGGGGAAATGGACGTTTGGAGAGGGTAACTGCACGAGCTCCTACAGCTGTGTAGTGGCTGATCCTGGAGGCACTCATGGGCCCCGCTCGCACCCCAGCCTTCGGGGCTGCTCCTGTGGGCCCCATTGACTGAGTCCACCTCAGGCACCAATGTATTTTGGAGGTGGCAGGAGGAAACAGTCTCACGTCTTGGTGGCGGTCTTCAGACTTGCTTTCTAGGGCTTTTCCCCAAGAAGGCCACCAAGTGAAAGACTTGGCCAGCTACCTGGCTGCCTTATTCCACTGCTTAGCTTTTTAAGAAAATCTAAACACCCGTAATGCAAAGAAGTAAAAACTGTCAACAGGGCAGGAAAGTAGCAAATTTTGCTTGTTTGGTAGGAGAGCTAGTGTCTTTGATGGTGAGTTAATGCAACTGCAACATGGGCAAATACGGTTGACCCCTGAACGACACAGGGGTTGGGGCGCTGACCGCTGTGTAGTCGAAAATCCCCATGTTACTCTCGACTCCCGCAAAACGTAGCTACTCACAGTCTTACTGTTGACCAGAAGCCTAACCGATAACATAAACAGTCAATTGACACATATTTTGGGTGTTCTGTGTATTATATACCGCATTTCTACGATAAAGTGAGCTAGAGAAAAGAAAGTATTAGATTACAAAAATCATAAAGAAGAGAAAATACATTTACAGTGCTGTCCTGGAAAAGATCTGTGGGCAAGTGGACCCGCGCAGTTCAAAGCCGTGCTATTCAAGGGTCAGCTGTAGACCATTTTTGTTAAGCATTTTGATCACGAGAGTGTGAGGAATCCCAGCTTGGGAATCATTAATCATGAGTGATTTTCCTGCATTTTCCAAGGTGTTGGATACATCTAACCTTTTATTTTTATGGCACATATGTTTTAAACATGATACCATGAGTGCATATTTGTTGTATAACATAGGGAAAATATAGGCAAACAAAAGGAAGAAAATTTTGCTTAACCTTACCACTCAGAGAAACATTGTGAACATTTTCGTATATTTCTGAGTATGTGTTTAGATTTATTCTATTGGCAGTATGTGTTTTTTTTTTTTAACGTTTATTTATTTTTGAGACAGAGAGAGACAGAGCATGAACGGGGGAGGGGCAGAGAGAGAGGGAGACACAGAACTGGAAGCAGGCTCCAGGCTCTGAGCCATCAGCCCAGAGCCTGACGCGGGGCTCGAACTCATGGACCGTGAGATCGTGACCTGAGCTGAAGTCGGACGCTTAACCGACTGAGCCACCCAGGCGCCCAGGCAGTACGTGTTTTAATGGCCATCAATATTCCATTCTTTTTTTATACATATAAATTTTTTAATGTTTATTTATTTTTGAAAGAGAGAGCCATCAGCACAGAGCCTGACGCGGGGCTCGAACTCATGAAC